GAAGATAATAATTCAGAACAAAAAGCTCGGCTGAGTATGGAATTTGATTCATAGGTTTAAAACTACTTCAAAATTTCGAAATCTTAAAATTGAAGGTCATTGAGAAGAACTATCGAAAAAATATACCATCAGAAATTAAACACAGCAGTGGGTAGACTAAGAATTTTGCCCCAAAATATTATGACATGTGGGACAAAAAATCTTTGTTGTTTTCAGTCCTTTAGTAGTTAAATGCTAAAAAGCTTGGCATGCAAAGTTTAACCTATTATTTTCAGTGGCCAATTGTATAAACATACTAGGCACCTACTTGATATCAAACGCCAATGCAACATATGCATCTTAAAAAATATAAGCGAACGAAATCTTCGTAGAAAAGGATGCAAAATAGAGCCATAAAGAGTATAAAAGAAATAAACAAACGTTATTACATTCAAGTGTTTTCATGGCTAAAAGTTAGGAAAATGTAGGTTGTTAAAAGGAAAAGTGAAGTGAAAATAGTAGTAGAAGAAAGTTTTTGCAAGTAAAAAAATATTCTTTATAGAATTAACTATTCTAGTAAGATCTGGTAAAACGCATTCAGCTGATAAATAAATACATTATTTATAACCGAGAATTAAACAAATATCGTTTAACACTAATGTAGGTGTTCACCTGAATCAAAAATACTAAAATTTCAAGCATATGGTAAACAAATAGCTAAAACCTTATTATTGCAATACATAAAAAACTATTCCCCTTACTTGTAGTACGCCCCATTTTAGATAAATAAATAAATAAAAACTTTTATCCGAAACTGGGATTATTCAGGACACATACTATAAGAAAAATGGCGATAAATACCCAAAAAGAAGTATCCCTATATTTATCAAACATCATTAGCTAAGCCACAGAGCACGAGTTCAAGAAACATTAAGAAAATCAAATAGTCTGAACAAAGCTTACGCCTAGGGTGTCATCGCCAGTGATCGAGACACGCTGAAATTCTACCGCAGCTGATTCTATAGTAGGTGCAGAGGCCAGCTCCACACTGCTCACCGCATGATCAATAGGATCGATCAGACTTGTGGCTGCAGCAGCTGAACTAAGGGAAACAGGCTGTGATGCAGGTGCAGTTGAAGCCGCAAGGAGTGACGGCACTGTATGGAGGATAGCTGTCGGATTAATAGATTCCCCAGCAGAGGCCCCAATCACCTTGGCTCTGAGAGTACCTCCCGGTGATATCAAAGTAACTGGGGTTCCGGCTGGTAAGGAAGTTGCAATACGAGAATCCGAGCCAGGCTCAATGGCGATACCAATATTATCAGAAGATAAGGTGCAAGCTGCAGACGAAGCAACTTTAGTTTGGGATGTGCCATCCCAATTCTGCTTTTGGGCCGAATTGGCGTCGTGTATATTGATTCTACTAGGCGCGCAGGGTCGAATGGCCTGAAATCAATTTGTGGGGTCAAAATAGGGAGGAAGAGATTTTTTATACCATTCAACATTATCAACCCCACGGATGATATTCAATGGTTAAGATCTTTTCATTTAAAAGTCATGTATCAATAAAAGATTAACTAGGTGACTAAAAGAAGACAAATCAAATTAAAATAATTAAATCAAAGGTATGAAAACCAAGATGGGGTGGCCTTTTGCATGGTCGCAGTCTCCTTTCGTTGTAGACAAGTTGTTTGACCATGTTTTTAGGTGGTCATATTGGTAGGAAGACTTAGAGAAGCGAACCTAGTCCGGAGTCCATTGTCTGCATGATCATTTCCAAAGTCGAACCGTGGACGTGGTACATTCCCAAACGTTTCGCCGGCGAAACGTCTTCGCCGCAGTTATCGTACTTTTAGCCAGTGTCAAGTCTATGACTTCCTATGCCCTAGTCTCTTGTGTGATTATGGCTAGAAGCACGATAGATGCGGAGAAGACTAGAGATAGAAGATATGAAGACCAAGATGGTGTGGCCTTTTGTGTGGTCGCAGTCTCCTTTCGTTTTATAGAGGTTGT